CTGTCAATCACCGTAAGTCCTGCGCCAGCTTCCGTCCCACGCAATATATCGGCGACCACAGCTCTCATTCTTATTTATATATTTTTATAGTATTTCTCGTTCATTTCGTATTTTCTTCAAATCTTCCCTAACCGAGTTATATCATGCTCTCTCAGCATTGCATTAACAGTACTGGCATGAGCTTAAGCTTGTTGCCTTGTGCATCCCCGAGCCTTTGACTGTTGCCATAGAGATTTGCCGCTGAATCCGAGAAAGGTTTCATTATGTTGTCTTCTTCTCAAGGGAAACTGGTTAGAAACGGCGAGGAGAAGAAATCAGTGGTGAGTTACACACTACAGCATGTATCTGGATGAATACATCCCCCTATCTGAAAGAGGGTCAATCACACGGCTGAAGAATACAGTGAACACAATATTGTTTAATATGGGTTGTTGTTGTTGTTTTGGAAATTGCATCCACTTTTGTTCAGATTTGGTTGGAGGGAAATATTGCAAGTGGAAAGACAACATGTCTGGAATACTTCAGCAAAACCAGTGAAATTGAGGTAATACAGTAAATCTGTGATGAATAATATTTCTTACAGTTTCTGAAATCTCTCTATTCTTGTTATTCCTTTATTTAAAGGGGTCATATGATGCGATTTAAATTTTTCCTTTCTCTTTGGAGTGTTACAAGTGTAGCTTAGCCTAAGATGAAACTATGCTATTAGTTATAATTAATTATAAATATTTAGATCCGCTGTAGATATTTACTTGACCTCTCAAGGTCAACTGTCTGTCAATCTAAAACGTGTCTTGTGTTTTAGGTGCTAACAGAGCCAGTGTCTAAATGGAGAAATGTACAAGGATGCAATCCATTGGTAGGTATCACTTGACACTTCCATTATGGATTTAATGAGCTTTTTCTTTCTGATCCATCGAGGTGTAAACTTTATTGCATATTTGATTATCTTATAAATGTATTTTATCCTGCCACAGGGATTGATGTACCAGGACCCATCTAGATGGGGACTCACTCTTCAGACATATGTCCAACTGACAATGCTAGATCGGCATGTCTTACCAATGGCATGTACAAGTCCTTTTTCACATCCACATAGTCAGTTTTGTTCAGTTGCTTTACATGTATCTGTTTTTGTCCTGCAATTCAGAAATTAGCCTCCGCCTTCTGCGTGAACAGAGGAAATGGAATGCGAATCATGACTGCAATAACCTGTTTTTTTTGTTTCTGTCGCCACAGTCAGCACCAATCAGAATGATGGAAAGATCTATTTACAGCGCAAAGTACATTTTTGTGGAAAATCTTTACAAAAGGTACATTTCCTTACAACGCTGAAAGAGCTTTACCTGCCCACTATTGAACAAAAAATGGGTAACACTTTATTTTGGTGTCCTTCTTACACGCTACATGTACTTAGTATAGTAATAACAGTAAATTATGCAAAATGACATGCAGCTAACCCTAAACCAAACCATATCTCTATAGTAAGTACATGTTGTTAAGTAATATTGCTTAGTATTGTTTCATTACTCTATATCAAAGACACCTTCAAATAAAGTGTAACCACTAAATGTACTGATCATTAAACGTGTACTAATGTTAAATGAAAAAGAGTATTATTTTATTTGGTTGACAGTGGAAAGATGCCTGAGGTGGACTTTGCTGTTTTGAGTGAATGGTTTGAGTGGATCATAAAGAATATCGCTATTCCTGTGGACCTTATTGGTATGGCAAATATATCTGTATTGCATTGCGACACCACGTTGCTCGTTAGATAACTGAAATTTTGTAATAAATGTTTTAGTGTAGCATAACTAAAACATTTTTTTGCATGTGTTCATTGGTTTTTATACAGTTTACCTGCAGACGTCTCCACAGACTTGCTACGAAAGACTAAAGCAGAGGTGCAGAGAGGAAGAGAAGGTTATTCCCTTGGTGAGTTATAAGTGAACCGCTGTGCATGTAAAACTGAACTGAAACAACCCAAAATAGATTCTGTAACTCTGCTGTCAATGGCGAAAGAGCAAATGGCGGCAACATTTTAAAGGGATCATGAATTGAGAAATCAACTTTTACTTGAGCTTTTGATGTATAAGAGATCATCGTACTAAAAGAATATCCTGTACGTTTCAGAACTGAAAACGTCCTTGTTACTGAAATAAAAGCTTTTATTGACACCAGGCCCAGTGAACGCGTGATCCTGGAATGTGCCTACCTATGACGTAATAGATCGGTTAAACACCGCCTCCTAATTCTGTAGCCCCATAGTAGGGAAATAATGGAAGTGGCGCTAAACCGGATCGAGCAACCAAGCAATAAACATGCCGTTAAAGATCGCAAAATATTGTGCAGTGCCTGGTTGTGAAAGAACAGTCGCTGCATAACCTTCCTTCAGATTCAAATATTAGGAATGCGTGGTTGAACTTTATTTTTAATGAAGTTTCAGCTCACGTGAGTAAAACATTGAGCATTTGTTCGCTTCATTTCACCGTGGATTCCTTTGTAAACAAGACTCAGGTCGACGCTGGATTTGCAGAGAGACAGATTAAAAAGCAATGCTTTTTTGTATGAGTAAAAAATATTTGTACTGTGTCACTATTGCTTTGTTAGAGATCGCTTGATAAGTCCTGATTATGTGTACGTGTCTAACCAAAGCCACAGAAGGCTCCAGCAATGAAGGATGTAGCTTGTCAAACAGACACACAGAAAGTTAGTTTACTATGCAAAACTGTTATCCAATCATAGCAGTGGACGTTTACTTCCAAGTCTTCAATGCGGCATGCCCATAAAAACCAAGAGTTTCTCGAGCCGGCCTCAAAACCAGGGTAGAAAATAGCTATTACTTATTAATTTTGATGTTTTTGAATGTAAAAACCATGCGAACATCATAAGTGGACCTCAGACAACAGTATAAAATTAAAAAAAGCCAGTTCATGACCCCTTTAAGTTTAAAGCTTTGGTTCTAGCTCAGAGATGACTTTCACTTTTAATGGTATCAGAAGGCTAGATTACAAACATTACATATTTTTATCATATATTCTGAAAGTGATTGCACTTTCGCTGATGTTTACCCTTTAGGAATACCTAGAATCAATCCATAACCTCTATGAGGACTGGCTCATTCATCACAAGTCATTTGAGGTTCCTGCTCCAGTTCTGGTCAGTTTCTGCCAAAAGTCTTTGAATCATATGATATGTATTGTGACAATGTATAATCACTTGTTGATGAGCTGAACTCGTGAATAATGTTCCATGCACTATATCTTGGAGTAATTGGTATTTTCACTTTGGTGGGCAGGTAATCCCAGCAGATCATGACCTTAAGAAGATGCTGTATCAGTATGAGGAGAACAGAGAGAAGATACTAATGGCACATTGCTGAGCTTAAGATCTGAGACAACGATGATCAAATCAATCCATACATGTCTTCAGCTCTCATTGAGACAGATGAAGCAAGCACTTCCGTTTTTTGTTTTTTTTTACTTGAAACTGGATTTACAAACATTCCTCCTGCAGTGTACAGTTGATTTTTATAGTAGGATTTGTAGCATTAGTTCATATGATATGTGTTTTATTTATTTTAATCCTGCCTTTTATGATTATTATTTTGTATTTGCATTTGCAGTCTTTGCAAACTTGGTTTATGCACTTAACAGGAGACACAGTCTTTATTTTTAGTCTTGTTTATGAAAGCATTCCATATTACCTAAAACTGCTGCACTTAGAAACATTTCCATTGGCTCTTTTATGTCAGTAGACATTTTAAATTCTGAATGGCAATTCATGTTCATTCTGTCACTTGCAGACAGTGTCACTAACAAATACAGACACTGTGGTCTGTTTACGTTACTGAAGGTGTTGCTGTGACCAGTGTAATTTATACTGCATAAGGCATTGTTTTAAATAAATTGGAAAAAATTATTTGAAAATATTGATTTTATTACGTTGTAATTTACAGTCACATAATTCTATGATGCGCTCCACTGTAGCCTCAGTAGCACTTTAAGATCAATACAAAAATTGTTTGCACCTTGTTACTTTAAATAACAGCTAGTATAATAAAGATGCACCAGGGGCTTTATTTATAAAACGTTGCATAGAAACCATCCTACATTTGATCTAAGATCATTTCTCAAATGTGCATGTGATTCAGAGAAACGAATGTACGCACAAAAAAATGTGCGTATACGCCTCTCTTCCAGATGTGAATCTATAAATCACAAATGATCTTGAAATTGTGCACAGCTGAATTGTTTCAAATCTCTTGTCTTGTAAACACCCCTAATCAATGTCATTAGCATATAAAAGAGCACCAGTCAATGTCCAAATCCTTTACTTGTGAATGACGTGACAACATTTTTTTGATTTCCAAATACCCGCAGTACTCCAATCCTGCTACAAGAAAAAATGTGTACACCTGCTTAGAACCTGACGTGGCACTAAGCACTTTTCCATGTCAAAGACCGTTTTTACAAATCTTAATACTGGCATGAATTTTAGCTTACACTCTAGGATCAAATCTGTGTGTACGAACATTTTATAAATGAAGCCCTGAACACCATTTTTTAAAACTTATATTACCCCACATTAATCCAAGGATAGACATCCTAGCAGAACAAATGTTCCATTAAGAAAACAAAGTGCACATTTATTTGTCTCTACATTTAGTAAGGCACAGTAGGCCTACTTAGAAAATCAAGCTCTAATAATCATTTTGACCCAAGCAGGTTCATGAAAATTATAGCAGCAAGACATGTTCCTTCACTTCAAAAAGCTATGATAGAAGTTAAAGACAAAGGGCGCAGATGTTCTTCCTGTCACTTTCATAAACTAAGATACTAAAGCTAATCTGAAATCAGGGCTTCATTAACAAGAAACTTCCTATCAGTGAAAATGCTTTGCACATCATGACTACCACAAAGACATTTTTGGTGCACTGCCACATTCTAGTACACTTTAAAATATCTGCCATGGATAAGGAAAAAAACAGGACTTTGTGTCTCTAAATCACCACATATGTTTGGACTAAGTCGTCTTCTGGTTGCTGAGGTGTGGGACTCTTGTGACCGTTTGAGCCCTCATTGTGGTCAGCTGGTGGTCCAAACACTGGTGGGCAGGCACTTAGTGCACTAGGGATGTAGATTGACTGAGGAGGCTCTTTAATGAGGCTGTCCTGTGCAAAAATGCCATCAGATGCAACACAGCTCCCACAACCTGTGATGTTGCAGACAGGCTCCTGGGATGGGCTGCACAGAATGGGCAAGCTCATGCCATCTGGGGATTTTGTGGGTGGAGCCGTGATGACATCATTGGGTCCACTGCATGGCTGGGCCTGTGCGGTCTCCTCAATGGGATATTTAAGAGGTTCATCTGCACTGAGTTCCTTCATGTGCATTTTCCCCATTTGCTCAGTGAGCTCAGCCAAGCAGTCTTCTGTCGAGCCTTCACGGCTGCGTCCTTGCAGCAGCTTCCCGACTTGAAGAACCAATGGTTTGTCATCTGAGGGCTGGGCTTCTACAAGAGCATTTGGGATGTGTAGTTTTCTATGTCCTGGCGTGGTCTCAGTGTGTATGGCTATAGACTGGGGGCCACTCATGTCAGTACTGGCCTTGTGGAACAGGCCTGCATTGTGGCCCCTGGATCCAGCCCACTCCTGGGCTTTGAGAGGCTGCATAGATCTTTGAGACTTTCGGAAAATGGGCTTTTGTCGGATGGCCAGGTCTGGGTAGTTCTTCTGCATCTCTAAGATAGACTTGTCGTCAGTCATAAATGAGTTGGATGGTCTTTCAACATCAGAGATAGAAGCATCTTGAGACTTGTCGACTTCCTGATCATGAGGGTTATGACTTTTAAGTGACTCCTGTTGCTGCTCTTCCCCTGGGCTTACCAGTGAGCCACCTTCAACATGCCCATCATTCTTAAAAACATCCTCATTTAGATTACAGATGTTGTTGATAGGTTCTGAAGCTTCTTTCCCAGCAACGAAGGTCAGAGGAGCAGCTCTTGTTTGGATGATCTCCAGACATTCTACATGTGATCTCTGGTTCATGAGCTCCAGAAGATACTCACACTCTAACCTGACAAGGAAAAGGTCGAATCCCATACTCTTGGCCTTGCTGGGGTCAAAATTGTCCGACAATCTATACTCGGTGTCTGTTTCCATGCAGTATCCAATAATCTGAAGAATACTTCTGGCAAAAGGCAATACTGGCTTGATGTAATGGACAAAGTGTCCTGTAAATGTCTGAGAGAACAGGGGAATAAAACAATTCTGATTAATTGTAAATTATTATTGTATATCTAATTCTTTTTTCACTTCTAAAATAATTAAACCTTGTGCTCTGATGTGGTAAATTACTGTATTGCGACCAATTATTATAGCTTTCACGTTCTGCTGAGATTGACAGTTTACACCACTCAAAGAATCTTAGCAGAAGTATATGTATATATGTATATATATATATATATATATAAATTCATACTTCCGTGTTAAATATGGTTTTGAGGGCAACAGTATTTGCGGTCTATCAGACCTCAAACAGAACTTTAGAATTAAAGGAAGTCAGCAAGAGCAGCCTTGCTAAAAGAAATCTTAAAGCAGCCTAAAATGGTATGCTGATTTTAACTGGTCTTAGTTTGCCTTCCAGCCTGGCTAAGATGTTTTCAGATGGCCTAGTTGATGTCAGATCTGGTCTAAACAGTTGATAATTACTCAAAATCCATCTAAAACCAGAAAACTGTTTAGAAATCTTCTAAAATCAGCCTGAACAGTCTAGGAGACCAGTGAAAATCAGCAAACCATCTAGGGCTGTTTTAAGTTACACTGTTTTTTGTTTTTAGCATAATCAGCTCTCAGAAAAGTCATTATGTATTAACAATACTTTGGTGTTAAAAATGATTTTGTGGTCATCAAAACGTGCTTGGGGTCTCTCAGACCTCAAATAGAACATGAGAATTAAAGGAAGTCTGTGACAATTAACCAGCCTCAAATAGTTTGCTAGTTTTACTTGGCATTCCAGCGTGGCTAAGCTGTCTTGTTGATTGTCTAGCTGGTCTGATCAACTGAAAAGTACCCCAAACCCTTCTAAAACCATAACAGACCAGTCTGATCAGGCCAGGAGACCAGCAAACCATCTGAGGCCGGTTTAACAACTTCTTATCATCAGCTGGGAGAGTAGAGAGGATAGACCTAGCCTATCACTAGCGGCTTTCATTTACCTTTAATGTTTTAATCTCTTTCTTCCACGGAAACAAAAACAGGTTGACACAGAACATCTCCAGTAACTCGGCGGCTTTTTTAAAGTCGTGGACTCGTCTCTGGCAGTCTCTGTACTGTGCGCACTCATACAGAGTCTCATAGAAGTCCGGCGTGTTGAATCTCTTCCGCGGCTCTTCCTCCGGTAACAGCAGCACGCGCCTGGCTTCATCTGTCACCTGTGTCTCTGAGCACACTTTCAGGTCGCCTTCACAACAAACTCTGTCGTAGTACTGTAGATACTTAACGAACACGTCTTTTCGCGAAACAGGCGTTTGGTCTTCGACGTTGTTGGTCATTATTGTGACAGAAAGTATAATCAAGTTGATCAACTCCCGTTGAGGAAGCGAAAGTAGACAGTATGCAAATGAGGAGTGATGATGATGAATATGCAGGTATCGCAAACACGGAAGAACCTCAAATATACGTTTTCATATTGTAGTTTAATAATAATTTAGCAGGATTACAGTAATTAAAGCAATTCTTACATTTCCACAATGTCCATGACCGATAAGCAAAACTGTCCTGTAGGCATCAGCGACGTAATAGCGATCTCGTTATCATTCATCTCAGCCTTAACAGACACCTGAAATAACTATATATTACACATCTGTAAGTACTACTTGATTATTACAGGGGTATTTGTCCACGATTTGTCCGAGAAACGGTTGCTGGTATACCTACATGTCACCATTGTTATTCTGCCTTCGTATGTGGGAAACATTACTGACATCTAGTGCGTGCAAAAAATAAGTAATTCTCATGACTTGCGTGTAAAAGATGTCCAGAAGATGGCGCCGTAATCACAAAATTGACGCAATGCACGTCAAACACGTTTTTGAGTGATGTCAGAAAGGAAAATACCTGGGGCCAGTTGCAAAAGCATAGCCACTATATGTTAAGACTGTGTTTTAAGAACTGCAGTTAGCCAATCAGTCTCAATTTTCTGATTAAAATTGGGCCAAACTACATTTTTTTAACTGATATAAACAGTTATGACCAGTCTAGAAGAAAACAAATTAGATGGCTAATTTTTTAAGACTAGTCTAATGGCGCTTTTCCACTGCATGGTACGGCACGGTACGGTTCACTTTTGGGGGGTTTTCCACTGGGTACAGTACCTGGTACTTTTTTTAGTACCACTTCGGTTGGGGTTCCAAGCGAACCGTACCGTTACCAAAACGTGACGTGTAAACTCTGCTGATCACGGATTGGCCGGAGAGAATCGTCACTACCTGCGTCACTGAACTTGCGACACAAACAGAACAGAACCGCTAGATTTAAATCAGCACAGCCAGCGAAGGATCGAATGCAACTGTTTTGAACGAGCGCACCTTTTTTTAACAACCAAAAAGTGGCTGTTTCGTGGTCTGTTGAGGAAGTACAGACGTTCCCCTAGTCGTACCGAGCCGAGTCGTACCACGCAGTGGAAAAGCGCCATAAGCAGTTTATGCAACCGGCCCCTGATCTATGAATTGGGTATCCATGGGGGAAATCCAGCTTAAACTTGAAAATGTTGTGGAACATTTTAAGTAGTCTTGTGTAAATACGTGGTGCATGAAATGGTAAATATTCTGTACAACAATCTCAAAATAGTATAATATTATCTGATAACGGACCTTTCCCTGTACCTAGTTTAATATATATATATATATATTTATTTATTTTTTGTTGTTGTTGCAAAATCAGCATGTAAAGGAAATGAGTTTGGGATTCATTGAGCAAGAGATTCATGGATTCATGCATGAGCTGCTGTGTCCATGACTGATCTTATATTAAAGTAATACATGAGGCGAGACAGAGTGACAAGGCAAATGCTGTGTACAAGAATCCTTAAAAAATGTAAACAAAAAAAAATCTGTTTTCAGCACTGATAATAATAAGAAATGTTTCTTGAGCACCAAATCAGCAAATTAGAATGATTTCTGAAGGATCATGAGACACTAAAGGCTGCGTAGCTGCTGAAAATTAAGCTGTGCCATCACAGGAATAAATGTAAAGATATAGGCCTGTATTAAATGGAAAACAGTTATTTTAGATTGTAATTTACTTGTTTTAAAAAACAGTAACAGTAACATGTTTGAACGGTAGTGAGTCTGTTTGGAATAGAACTCGGTATCAATATACCAGGAAATCAATATCAATATATTAATATAATTCAATTCAATTCAAGTTTATTTGTATAGCGCTTTTTACGATACAAGTAGTTGCAAAGCAACTTTACAGAAAATTAAGTTTCTACAATATTTAGTAGTAGCTTATCAGTGGTGACTGTCAGTTTATGTACATATGGCAGAAATGTACGGAAAAATCAATTAAAGACATAATCAAACAGAT